GGTAAAACAGATCAAACGGATTATTATCGAAATGATTCGAACTGTTTCAAAGACCCAACATGCATTTTTTTGCATTGGGCTCTTTTATCAACTGATAGAAAGATCAGTTAGTCCACCATAGTTTTTCTTTACGGAAAGATAATGAGATGGCTCCCTGCGCTCTGATTGATTATTTGTATTATGATCTATCTAAGAGCAATACCAAAGTGTTTCAAAGGAGGATTACCTTGACTTAGGTCTGCCTCCGGCCTAAATTAAATCAACCTAAGTGAAATAGAGTCTCTATCGTTCCGCTACAAGAGTTGACTATGAGACTTCATACACCTTAAAGTTCATAGAACGAAAAGAATTTTTTTGGAGGCCCTTATCCTCATTAAGCCTAGCATTTAGTGGGCTGGATATTTACCTTATCAACTAGCAAATCAATAAAGGTTCTATTTGTTTAGGCACCTGGATTGGTACCTGAATCGGACTGAACCAACTATTTGTCAGGCGACTGTTCTCCTATTCTCTCGAATCCATGAAGTAAGACATTGATTTTGCAAGAAGATCCACTATGTTCATTGCATAATAAGCTCCCTTGAAAAGCATTGGCGCACGTGTAAACGAGTTGCTCTACCGAACTGAGCTATAGCCCTTGTCAGAGATATCTTAATATATAGAGAATTTCTTGTCAAGATGAATATTCTCTAATAGTAGAGGATATCCTTTGATCTGTTTACTATAATAACATACCAATAACGAAGCGGTATTTGCTTATAAAAAGGATTCGATCTATAATCGATCGAAGTAAAGGGTCTTCCTTTGTGGTGATAAATTGCCTACTTAACTCAGTGGTTAGAGTATTGCTTTCATACGGCGGGAGTCATTGGTTCAAATCCAATAGTAGGTAGGTAGGTAGAAAAATTACTAGATAGCATTGGCCCTACTTCGCTTCGCTATCTAATAATTTTTTCTACCCCTCTTCCCTTTTTCTTTGTATCAACTAAACCGTTGGGTTGTCTTCAATTAGATGGGGGAATCCAATTAACAGCCTCGACTCGTATCCTAGCTCGTCTGAGAGCTACCTTCGCTTCAACCAATTCTTTCGTACCCTCAGCTCTACTCACGTTAGCTTCGGCTATTTCAAGTGCCTGTTGAGCTTCTTCCGGATCAATGTCACTACCCAGTTCCGCATCATTTCCTAAAATGATGATCTCATTATTAACTATTCTGGCAAAACCGCTCCACAGAACCGCCGTTAACCATTGATCGTTGAGGAGGCGTATTCTCAAGGGACCCATATCTACAGCTGTGTTAATGGGGGCGTGGTTTGGTAATACGCCAATTTGGCCACTATTAGTAGATAAAATGATTTCTTTCACTTCACAATCCCAAATAATTCGCTTAGGAGTCAGTACATAAAGATTTAATTTCATTTCTTCAATTTGTTCTCCTCTTCTAAGTTTATAGCTTTCGTGCTAGCTTCATCGATGTTACCCACCAAATAAAAAGCCTGTTCGGGTAGGCCGTCTAATTCTCCGGAAAGGATTAGTTGAAATCCCCTAATAGTTTCTGCAAGACCAACATACTTTCCCGGAGAACCGGTAAAAACTTCTGCCACAAAAAACGGTTGTGATAAGAAGCGCTCAATTTTTCGTGCTCTTGCTACAGTTAAACGATCCTCCTCCGATAATTCATCCAACCCAAGAATTGCGATAATGTCCTGAAGTTCTTTGTAACGTTGTAAAGTTTGCTTAACTCTTTGCGCAGTTTCATAATGTTCGTTGCCAACGATCCGAGGTTGTAACATAGTTGAGGTTGAATCTAAAGGATCTACTGCAGGATAAATCCCTTTGGAAGCTAATCCTCTGGAAAGTACGGTAGTAGCATCCAAATGTGCAAATGTTGTAGCAGGAGCAGGGTCGGTCAAATCGTCCGCAGGTACATAAACCGCTTGGATCGAAGTTATAGATCCCTTTTTAGTAGAAGTAATTCTTTCTTGCAAAGAACCCATTTCTGTACTAAGAGTAGGTTGATAACCCACTGCAGAGGGCATTCTCCCTAATAAGGCAGATACCTCCGATCCTGCTTGAACAAAACGAAAGATATTATCGATGAATAGAAGCACGTCTTGCTTATTAACATCTCGGAAATATTCTGCCATAGTTAGGGCAGTCAAACCAACTCTCATACGAGCTCCTGGCGGTTCATTCATTTGGCCATAGACTAGAGCTACCTTTGATTCCTCAAGATTTTTTTCATTAATTACTCCAGATTCCTTCATTTCCATATAAAGATCATTTCCTTCACGAGTCCGTTCCCCTACTCCGCCAAATACGGATACGCCCCCGTGAGCTTTAGCAATATTGTTGATTAATTCCATGATGAGTACTGTTTTACCTACTCCAGCTCCCCCAAATAGTCCGATTTTTCCTCCACGCCGATAAGGAGCTAAAAGATCGACCACCTTAATACCAGTTTCAAAGATGGATAATTTCGTATCTAACTCGATAAAGGCGGGCGCGGATCTATGAATAGGGAATGTTGCACTAGTATCTACAGGACCTTAAGATTAGTTTTTTGCTAAATGTTACGGCCTAAATGCTGAACTATTGACCCTACTTGTTCGGATGGGTGTTCACCCCAAAGTGTTCCCGGATTGCATGCATACATCCGTAAGTAACTTAGTGCAACATGGCAAATTTCATTGAGAGGAATTAGCAAAGAAAAGAAATCTTCTTTCTCCGGGCCGGAGTAGACTTGGATATGAGGAATTCCTCAAATCTAAAAAAAATAGAACAAAGGCAAAGTCCTTCTTCACTTCCCCGGAACTGCACATCAGGATTCTTCAATCCTTCTATCTGGCCTCCGTACCCGTAGTGGAGTACCTTGCTACTTTCAATATTCAAGTCATTTTCATTGTTTGTTTTTAGTTTTGTTGTGGAGAAAGAGGGCTACTTAGGAAGCAAGGTAACTCTATCACCTTCCGTCCGTCCTGCTTCGGTACATACATTAGGAAGGAGGCTAAATACAAAACAAGAGTCTACGCTCGCTTTTGTTCTGCTGCCAATGGACTAAAGACTTTCCCAACCCATATAACACTGTCTTTGACCGACTGGCCTAGTAGGTAAAAGAGGAGTAAGAATAGCAATGCCTCCACTCCAAATAATGTGAGTTCGGTACATTCAGAGGGGTAATCTGCTCTTAGTTTTAACTCACTTTTTCCGTTCAAAATCCTTTTCCTGTAATCGGCAACAATCGATCTGGTCGGTTGCGTTGTGTAACAAAAACTCTATTTCTTCTAATATACTGACGTGCATGTAATTCTTTTGCGTGTCCGAAAAAAATTACTCCGGCTAGTCAGGCTAGATATTCGGAGTGTGTGTTATTAAGTATCGAAGATTTTTTTAGACAACTCTACATGTGTTGTTTGCACATACTGCTACCAAAATTAGCATTGGTTGATATGTTTTTGAAAAAAGTTTTTAGGTGCCTCCGTGAAACGTCATCTTAAAGTAGCGTTTGAAACAAATTATTCATTGGATTATTGTCGTGGATAGTTACTCGATTGTAGGATTAAATTAATTAACTAGCATGGTGGCCCGCACAGATTGCGTGGGTAACTTCATTATATTTTCTCTCATATAATAGCATATATGTTTTCTCATTATATTATTAAAATATATTACAATGACAATATAATTTTAAATTTTGCAATAACTTTACGAAACTACTAATGTGTAATAATCATATTGTATTTTATATACATGTTAGTTATTAATTATTTTTAATATCAAATTTTAGTTATTTGTAAATTATATATATTCCTATATGGACTCTAGACTCGTCTTTTAATATTTCTTTTTTCAATGCTGAATTTTTATTATTTCTAATTGTATTTCTACGTGGACTCTAAACTCATCTTTCAATATTCTTTAATTTTTAATTTCAAATTTTAGTTACTTCTAAATTGTATTCCTATATTGACTTTAAACTCTTCTTCTCATGTTTTTCTTAATTTTTTATTTTAGTTATTTGTAAATTGTATCTTTATACGGACTCTAAACACTACTTTTCATTTTATTATGTTTATTCCGAATTTTAGTTAGTTTTAAATTCCTATATGGACTCTATACTCTACTTCTAATATTCCTTCTTTTTTAATTCCGAATTTCTATTTATTTCTTAATTGTATTTCTATATGGATTCTATACTCTACTTCTAATATTCCTTATTTTTAATTCTGAATTTCAGTTATTTCCTAATTGTATTTCTATATGGACTCTAGTCTCCTAATCTAATATTCCTTATTTTTAATTCTGAATTTCAGTTATTTCCTAATTGTATTTCTATACGGACTCTAGTCTCCTCCTCTAATATTCCTTTTTTTAATTCCGAATTTCAACTATTTCTAAATTGTATTTCTGTATGGACTATAGTCTCCTCTTCTAATATTCCTTATTTTTTAATTCCGAATTTCAGCTATTTCTAAATTGTATTTCTATATGGACTCTGCTTTTTATTTTTCTCCGATTAATGTGAGAATTTCTAGACCATGAGAGCGAACGTGGAGGCTCCTTTTTTTATTCCTTTAATAATATAATAGATTTTAAAAATAAAACTGATAAAAATAATCCGATAAGTGCAAGTTGAAAATAACGGGGGCAGAATGGAGCATGGAGAGAGTATAATCCACGTGATCTGCAACCATCAGATCTGAATCTGACGGCAGCGAACCACCCTGCGCTCTTGTCCTCGTTTGATAGTGTCGTGCAGTATAGACTAATATAAAATATATCACTCCCAAACATACAAGTTTAAGTTTAAATTCAACTCCTATAAGTTGTAAAAAAAATAATAAATACAGTTGCGAATATGCGATAGCTATTTTCAGTTTAATTTGTTATTTTTGTTGCAACTAGTAGAAGATGAATTTGGTTTTATATGTTTGTGGAGTGATATATTTCGTATTAATCTATGTTATTAATTTTTTTAAAAAAATTTGATAACTATTTAGATGATATATAAATATCGAGGAGACGTCGCCTCGAGGGATGAAAAATCCACATCCCTGTATACAGAGCCATCCTATCCAGCCAATCCGAGCCCAACGTACATGTACGTGCAATTGACCGGCAAAGCTAATCTAGCTGGCCAAATATAATCGCAACAACAACACCCTCTGCTTAATCAGGATACAGAAACTTCAGATAATATATCCTCTGACCACGTTTACCCAGAAAACCCCGCCAAATCGCAACCCGCAACGAACCTCCAGCCTGTGCTGCCCCCACTCCCGCCTACACGACACTTCACCCTCGTCATCTACCTCCCGCCCCCGCTATATATACCCTCCTCACCCTCGTCGCCGTCTCCGGCACAGACCACGGCAGCAAAAAGATCGATCGAACAGGCGCGGCACAGCGATCCACCCCAGCGTCAGAAGCAAAGCAAAACCGATCGAGGAAAGAGAATTTCATACTGCGGCAATGGGCATCTGCGTGTCGTGCGACGCGGTGGCGGAGGGGGCGGCGACGGCGAGGGTGGTGATGCCTGGCGGCGAGCTGAGGGAGTACTCGCAGCCGGCCACGGCGGCGATGGCGCTGGAGGAGGCTGGCGAGGGGTGGTTCCTCTGCGACGCGGATGGGGTCGGGTTTGAGGGGCGTGTCGTGGCCGTGCCCGGCGACGAGGAGCTCCGCCCGGGGCAGATCTACTTCGTGCTCCACCCCGAGGCGCGGCGCCGCAGCCTTACCCGCGAGGAGGTCGCCGCGCTCGCGGTGAAGGCAAGCGCCGCCCTCGTCAAGGCCGCCGCAGCGGCGGCGGCATCCTCCCCCGCGGGAGGCCGTCGCCGGCGCGGCGCGGTGGCGCCGCTCGTGTTCCCGCTCCCCGAGGAGGATGACACGGCGGTGGCGGCGGCCGCGCCCAAGCCGGCGGTGGCGCGGAAGCGGCGGGTGGCGTCGCGAGGCGTGAGGGCGAGCAAGTTCTCTCCTGACCTGACCGCCATTCCGGAGTCCGAGTAGAGCGCCCCGGCCTCGCCGCCATGGCCAACGACCTCGAGACAGCGAGAAGCATCAGTGCACTGTCTCACTGGCAGTGGGTCCCACGCCAAGGGGAGACGGGTGGGCCCAACTCGATCGGACGGCTGGGAATCCTTGTGATGCTTTGAGCTTGCGCTTGCGTTGTGATGTGTAGCAACGGTAGCCAGCCTGCGTCCGTTCTTGGTGCGGTTAATTTAGGCGCCAAAAACATGAGAAGAAAATGTAGGTAGATTTAAATGTAAATATAAATGATACTACTACTACTATTATAAAGTATAAGAAATGGTGTGCTACCAACTGCCAAATCACTGCCTAAGCTCATAACTTCTATTTGTGCCTTTTGCATCTTCAAAAACTGAAATTGTTGAATGGCATGTGGATCAAAAGTTCAGAACACAAGAGTCAACAGACTCATCTGAATAAAAGAATAATCAATCGATTAATCTACCAAGAGAGCAAAATGTATTCTCCAATCTCTAGCTAACACACCGTCCAATGTGCTCTGAATTGAGATAGTAGCTTTCTTTATAGCCCAGTGTTCATTTGGAATCTTCAGCTCTGAAACTGCCAAAAAAAAAAAACCCCGATGTGGTGTTCTCTTAGCCCAAATAGATTATTGTTACCTAAACATTTGTCAGCTATCAAATGGTCTGAACCTTGGTTGTTTGGATGGGCAAAAGTCCTGGCCCATCTATGTAATCAAGTCAGTCCAACATGGCCGAAAAATTAAACCTGCATTTCGGCCCACACAAAGAGGCTTAACATGGCACACAATGACACAACATACCGAAATTGTCAGATAACCAAAGGATGCTTCTTTCTCATTTCTTCCCCTTTTACTGTTCATCTACAAAAATTTTTACAGGCAAAGATAAACACTACTCACACATCAACCCTACACAATCCTTACGTCTAAATCTATATGATACAATGCATATACTTCAGCTCATTTCACAGCCTATTTGAGCAGAGAGCAGTAAGATTAGTCAGTTCAGGTGAGGAAATGCCAGGTCCCTGGACAGCAGATACCGGAAATTCAGGTTATGAGGCACCCATTCTATGATCTTGCTGGATCTGCTCTGCTGGCACTTCTGCATTGCCATCCTCAAGCTCTCCGGGAGGTAGCGCTGCACCATGTCGACAAGGCCCTGCGACGAGAGCTTGACGTCTTTCGCATACGCCTCGACGAGCTTTGGAAGCAGTATTTTCTGCTCCTTCCAGATGCCCACCGTTGCCCGGATGAACTCCTCCTTGGCAGCCTCCAGTTGATGGAACAGCCTCTTTGGAGTGTACACTCTCACCTGCAGAAAAAGAGGAGTTTGTGAGATGATTGTGACTAAAGGGGATTGACTGGCTTGGCAGTAGTTGGCACCACCAAGTAATAATGCCTGCAGTAACTTTGGTGAGAGATTCCAAACATGGAGAATGATTGAATGATTCCTAACAATATTCCCCAATCAGTGAAAGGTTTTCATTTCATTAGCATGTTTTGACAATGTGTCAGGGTATGATTTCCTCAGGACACGTGAGACTTTTTCATACCGAATTTGTGCCTAAAAGCTAAAAAGGGTTGAATTACTCAAGTATGGCTTGATAAAAGGAAGCATTGGTTAGTTTAAAATAGATCGAGGTACAATGAAGATGACACCAATTTGAGAAAACGCAATGAGCTTACCGCGGGATCAGAATGGCTTCCTGAACAAAGCGCAAAGCGTAAAAGAGGCTCTGATTGTGCAACGGCAAAGGCTTGCCACACATGCCCTACTTTGCCCACTTTGCTTTTGATCCTTGGGTGAAGCAAAGTACGTAACCACTGCATTAAAAGGAACAACACATAGAATTAGCATGCTTGCTATATAATCAGTACAGTGTGAATATTACACTTTTAACTAGTTTTGACCTAATAATCATGTTTGCTTTACCTGTCCAGGACAGTATGTGTTGCATCCAAGAACCATGCTCTGGATAACAGCTACATTGATGCTCCGTCCAGCAATTTTGCAGGCAGCCTGTGGTGAACAGATGTCAGGGAAAGAAGAAACTTCGTCTGAATTAAGTACACGAAAGGTGCATTCCATTGATTCTACAAAGGAAAATGTTTACCTTAACAAGAAGTGATGTCTTCTTCAGATTGTTCTGTGGGACGCCATACTTTAGATAAGCCTGTGGAGGTAGTACAAATTATACCCATTAACAAAAAAACAACTTGAGACAATGCTAGAAATTTGTAGTGAACTGAAACAGTAGAAGCATTACATGCATCAGCTGGGCGTTGTGTATGTTGACCCAGAATGCAATCTTTTCTTCGTTCGTCATTCTCCTGAGATCGACGGTTTCCAACCGGTACAAAATCAACCTGAAGTATACAATTCAGTATATCGTATTAGGACATTGAACATATAAGAAAAATATCTGCATTCACCAAACAGAGACAAGAAAGAACAGCTCACTTGTAAGTCTGGAGCAGATCCTCAACTTCTTTTAGCCTCCGACTATCGCGGCAAATCAGTGGAACCTCAACCATTGTATTGTATGGTCCACTGAACTCCTTCAACCCCTCAACATGGAAAGGGTTTATCAAACGAGAGTCCAGAGTAGATTCTCTCTTGTAATTGGGACTCCAGATATCCCCCAGATACTGCGGGGATATCGCACTCGTCGAGGAGAACGATGACGTTGGCGAAGACGACGAGCCGTGGTGAACCAAAGGGGGATCTGCAAGTTTGCAGTACACCCCTGCCATGCATCTCACCATCTCCTCCGATAGGTTGTTGGGAGTTTCAGGAATGTGGTCAGCTACATTAGTGCCTAGATACTCTGCTAAGCTTATCACTCCTGCTGCAGTACTCTCTCCTTCCTGCTCACAAAATTCATAAAAACAAGCAACTTAGAATCTTATACAGGTCCAGACGGAAACTTTCACAACCTGTTATGTTGCGCATAATCTCATAACCACACTGTACCCATCATTTCTTATCATGCACGAGGACTTGTAATTAGTAAAAAAAAATGCAGTGTGAATCATTACCTCCAGAAATGAGAAAGGTTGAGAGTGGCATGACCGAAGAGCTCTCGCAAGACTGTCCTCCGATGGTGAAATCCTGGACGAACAAATGCCGCGGTACGACACCGCAGACTGGCACCGGAGAACATCAGATTCACCTAGCCTGCTAGAGCAACCCGACGTAGAGCAATCCGTCATCACTGGATCGTTCAACGTCCTACGGGACGGTGGCGGGTAGCTGGATCGCAGCATTGCGTCAGCTCTGTTGTTCTTGCGAGATGCCTTGACACTGGGTGATTTCTGCAGCTGCACAGGCTGCGAGCTCACTGCCGCCATCGCCGGTACCGGCGGCTTCGGAGCTCCCCGGTGGTCAGGAGGGGAAAATGTGGGCACTTGCTGCTCAAAGGCCTTCCTGTACAGGGTAAGGAGATACTGCTCCATGTTCTTCACCTCAAGCTCTAGTGTAGCAATCTCCCTGATAAGTTCTTTGGCATCCTGAAAAAAAAACCATTTTATCTTCAGATCAGTATTGCTCAGGTAAGGGGTTAAAAACTTAAAATTGGTGAATTCTCATTCATGTGGTTAGGCAAAGGAGTTACCTTTGGCATTGGATTCTCGTTTGATACGTTGACTGGAGCAGCAGTAGCGTTCGGTCCCAGAGCTTTCTCCAGGGCGCCACGCATGACCTGCTGATCCTTGAGGTGCTTTTCTAGCTGGAGAATCTGCATCAGGCCGTCATGATGAGTCTAAACTATGTTGAATTCAGCAGAAAAGTGACATTATCCTAGACCATTTGCAGAGAAATTTTTACCAGGATTATTTTTCACTGGGAAAATCATGCTTTGTTTGTAAAACAAACAAAAAAAAACCTGGTCTGTTTAAGGATTTGCATTGTTCGGCCAAAAACGAAAATTTAAAAAAAAAGTGTCATTTGGCAAGCATGGAGATACAAAAAGGAAATGCAACCTCCTGTCTGTAATTGAAATGTGATTCTTTTCTTTTCCTACTAAAAAAGATTTTTAAGTCCAGAAAGGGCAGGTTGGCGATAAAATCAATGAAGAAAAATAGAATTTTACACTCATTACCTCTTTTCTCAAGAAGCTCTGCGCTCCTCTCCCAGGTTGCACTTCAGCGTTGATATCACTTTTTACCTTAACTTTTACAGCATCCTGAGTAAACCAGAACACAGAATGCTCAAAATTACTGAAACTATGCAGAACTATTATGCATTTACTGCAGAATACAGTAGAAAAACGTGGAAGACAGAACAGAGAACAGAGAACAGAAAATAAACTCACTGGCTTAGGCTGAACGCATGTTTTATCTGAAGCATACAGCGCATCTTTAGCACACATATCCTCAAGATCACTGCCATAGAAAAACATCTAGATCTCGTTATTAGCATTCGTAACAACAGAAACAGAGAACTTTGCATAAGAAATCCAAAGACACAAACCTCTTAGAACGCTTGTGCCTTTCTGAAGAACCGAAAGACTTAATTGCCTTAGCAAAGGCTCTGTGTCCCTTCTTCTCCATCGCCTCCACCTCCATTTCTTGGCACCAAGGTATGAACCAATCAAGAACTGAAAGCAACCAGCCAAGAACACTCTAAGCAACAGGACATCAAGCAGTAGTAGCCATATCCTTGGGGGCAAAGGAGCAGGAGAAATAAGAACAAGATAGTAGAACTTACAGAGATTAGTTGGCTGGTTCACAGAACTCGGAAGCAGGAAAGAGAAGAGACCCAACAACAAACAAGGAGAGCTCCAAATGATCCAAGAATGCAGAAATGTGGCTGCTTCTGAGCTCTGAAGCCACACTAGGCTCCAACAAAACCTGCACTGTGCTTGGCAACCAGTGTCAATGCCATCTACCGCCAACTAGCCCACTACTACCACCCTTCAGGTCAAAAACTAAATTGTTGTTTTTTCAGAGAGGGAATGGAAAGGTCTCTCCTTTCTCCACTCCAGCTCTGCAGAAACCCCGCACTCTGCGTTATATACAGCACAGCCACAACCAGTGACGCACACTAGTGTTTAGGGCGCCTGCAAAAAGGCCGTTGACTGTGACATCTCGTGAAAATGCCACGCACAACTTTTCCCTTGGTTCTTTGCTGGATAAATGGAGTAGTAGTAGTATACACTAATCACTGTACCTTTTTTGCATCCACAGGTCTGAAAATTTTAATCCCTCCCGGCTTCTTTGTATTCTGCAGCTTGCAAAACTAGGAAAAGGTTAGCTTTTTTTTTTCTAACATCAGCTTGGTTATATGTGTCTTAGGCTTTCTACCTCAACCAACCTCGAGTAACAGTTTTTGGGGTTGTGAGCAGCAGTAAGATTGTGGGATTATATTAACTCAGGATTACTGCATCCAGCTGCTAATAGAGCCAAGCTTGCATACCTAACCGACAAAACATCAGCATTGTTAAATTAGGTTATTGTCTACCAAACTTGGTTGAGGGATTTCAGCATCAGAATATTAGTAGTATGTTGAAATTGCACTTTGGAGTTTGGGGTTCTTAATGGAACAGGCAGGTTTCCAGATGTGCCTGACATAGCTCTTCAGAAATCTTTGTGACCATAATAGTTTTTTCTGCCCTGCGATGAGTTTGTTTTATGATACTGACAGACCAGCAAATGAGCCGAGAGCAGGTAGTCT